AGATGGCCGTCAGTGTCGACGGAGAACAGGCTTAAAGCACAGATGACTTTGTAGATGAAGAATTGTTGCTATCAGTTTGTGTCCACCTGATGAATGTAAATGCAATATTCACTCTTTTAGCTCTGGTTTTGGTCACCACCAACTGGTGAGAAAAAGACTCTTTAGCTGCTAAATGCTCCACTTACTTCACCACGTAGTCTCTAACTGTGTGAGCAGGTGGTGTACAGTGGGTTTTTACAGCTTTTTTTTTGCTGACAACAGCCTTCTGTGGCTGAAAATAAATATAATTGGAAGATTTTTCATACCTTATATGTACAAATCTTCTAACACTACAATAAAATTAATACATTTATATAAATACAAACAAACAGAGGCAGTGTAGGAATGTTATTCGAAATTACAGTGAAGAGAAAAGCTATCCCAACGGCACATTGAGAATTTTGTGTTCTCTTATTCATGCATGTTTCGACTCCTTGTAACAAGTTCAAACTCCCATGAGCATTAGATTTGAGGCCTAATGAACAGCCTAATGTTACAGCCTGTTGTGTCTAACTGCTGCAATGTATTCTGGTCTATTTGCTGCCCTCTCTGAGGTACAGATACCTCTCTTATGACTGATTTTTATCACAGTGTGATCATAATACTTTGGTGGATGTAGAAAGAAGTCTAATCTGTTGAGGACAGTGAAAAAGAAGATTGGATAAAGGGAGCTGATTGGAGAAAAGGAGATTTTGGAGAAATACTAGTCTGGCACGGAGAGAGGGAGAAAAAAAAGCCTTTGGAAGCAGAGAGTGACTCTGCAGAAACAGACAGGATGGAGGGGAGGTGAGGTCAGCAAAAAGTCAGACGGAGACCAGACTAAAGCTTCGGGCTCAAACAGCATGAGGTCATCTGGACTGAGCCCGACTGGTAAAACCCACCATGCACACACACTAATACCACACAGAGGCACATGGACATCTACAACAAAACATGCAGCTCTGAAAAACATCCTGTTCTCCAGGAATATATCTTTTCTTAAGCAGTTTACAAAAAAATACAATTACATTTTCTTAAAAGCACAAAGCCTTTCAAACCATTCTAATATGCCACTATCACTGCAGCAATGTTTGTTTATTTGGAAAAGGGGTTCACATCACCATGTTTGTGTCACTATACATTTATTTTAGCAACTAATTCTGACTTTTAATTGTGAACTCTAAACACCCCCTTTCAAATTTGGTTAGTGTCATGTCTGTAACAAACAGGAGTCAAGAACAGGATCTATTTTATTTTGGGTGAAAGTGAATTCACATTTTAATGACACACACAGAAACACACGTACAGATACATCGATATACGTGTATGCAATCACTGGGAGCAGCTCGGAGCTTTCTGTGCTGATTGAGAGTTTGGTAAAGAGTTTTATATGGCAGTTTTTTTAGTAATAATAATCTTCAATAATCTACAGTGCACTGCTCCCCAGTTTATAATCTCCTGTTTAAACCCTGATAGATTAAAGGGTAATTTCTCTAACCTCAATCCTAGCTTGCATTTAATATGTAGAAAAATCCATTTTGATCACTGTCTCCTCCTGTTGGTTTCCACGGCTCCTCCTGATTTGATGGAGAATCACCATGAATACCTTTTATTCATCCAGGAAGAGTTTTAGTTCCCTGCTTCACATTCATACGAGGCCTGGTAAAGTTTGACCAGATGGACAGTATGGTCGGACATTATGTCGACTTTGAAAGAACAAGAAATATTTAATAGCTGGAAGCAGTGACATGTTAAAATCCTCTTTAACTCCACATGACCCACCAGATGGTTCATCATTTAAACACATTTTGCTTTTCAAATGTTTGTATCACCATAGAACTGTCTCTAATAATGCTGACGGTGTAGGAAGTAACTAAATACATGTACTCAAGTTCTGTACTTAAGTGCACATGTCAGGTACTTGTACTTTACTTGAGTGTTTCCATTTTATGCTACTTTACACTTCTACTCCACTAAATTTTAGAGGGAAATATTATACTATATGTATCTGACAACTGCCGGAAATTATTTGACATGTTATTCATCAGTACAGGGGCCATTTTACTTTTGAAAGTACATTTTGTTGCCAATGATACTAGTACTTTTAATGTAATGGAGTATTTTTATTGGGCTACTTTTACTTTTACATTTCTTGGATACTTCCTGACAAAATGTGCATAAAATGGTGCACAAGAGGAAACAGGAAGGACATTTTTTGATTTAGGAGAGTTTTTAAGAGAGGGATATATGAGATTTAAAAAAAAATAATAATAATATAGATAAAGTGTAGCTTACTCTAAATACAGCAGAAGTTAACAAAGCTTAGACAGATGGAAGCTGAACCAAGTCTGACAGCCTTGGAGCTGGGCCTACTCAGTATGAGATGTCCTAAAAAAGGCCACCATACAGAGGATCAACTCTTTAAGATTGAACAATAGACAGCTTCACAATAGTAACAGTGGCTATGGACTTTGTTATTGTTTTGTTGCAGTAAATGTATTCTGACCTACAGGTTAATGGATTTTACAGCAGGGTCACAACAGGAGGTCAAACTGTTTTAATCTGGAGATGTTGGCTGAGCTGTAATCTTTATCACCTTTATTTAACCTGAGCCAAAGAGGTCAGAGGTGTATGTCAATACATGAGGATGTGTGTGGGCATGTGTGTGATTTATTTTATAATACAGTGAGCATATTCTGTATGTGCAGGCCTGTAGCTACTATTGAGAATGCCGAGGTCATGTCAGCTGTACTTTTTCTGGGTCTATTAATTAAATTTCTTAACATGTTAAAGTCACGAACTGCTAAAAGTTCAAGTCCAGTACTTGTGTAGCGGGTTGTGGGCAAAGGTTCACATCATCCGCTTGTTGAGCCGAAACAGCTCTGCTTTGCAACTCGTTACATTATGTGACATACATGTAGCAAGTTGCACACGTACAGAACGGCCCTGTCGTTCTTTTCACTTTGTGGGTGAGGGGGCTGTAGCCTACATACACGCAACACTTGCTACAAGATCAGCCAACACTGTGTTTGAATACGTTTGCACTTTCAAAGCACACACGACCGCCTTACCAGTATGGTATTGGTAGTTATGGCATCAAGGAAATGTATTTATCGTTATACAACACAAGATTGTATATGAGAGTTTGCACTTCTTTCATGCTACACACATAGAAAAAGATAATTCAATTATTTAAAATACATAGAAAATAAATAAAATAAACCAATATATATTATATATATTGGTTTATTTTATATTATATTATTTTTATACATATATACATACATGTATACACCCAGGAAATAATTCTGCAGTGCATCTTTTGAATTTGTTTCTGGGGGGAAAGTAATGATGATAATATGGTTATAACAGTGTCCATCCACTATGACTGCATTTAAATGTTTCACTGATGCCTCATTTATCACTATAATTCATTAATCAATAATGGGAAATAGCTCCTCTTTGTATTTATTGCAAGTAATAATCACATTTACAGTTATTTATTTATTATTTTAACGGGCATTAGGATCTTTTTAATTCAAAGACATATTAGGCCATGTATCTTTTCAACAATTTTATAACTTTCATTCAACTTGAATCTGATCCCCTAGGACTAGGACTCATGTATTTCAAAAATCCTGGCTAGTTTAATTGTCTGTAGTCTATTATGCTGGACAAAGACAATGGTGGAGGAGGGGGCAACAGAGGTCAAACTGAGAGAGAATAGTTGTTACGGTGTATGAGCGTCTGTTTGAGCTGCACAATTATAGAAGTGAAAGACCAAAGTTTTAGACCAGAAAGTGAAGACATTTTTTTCCACTTCTCACTCTTTCAAACAACTGTTTAAGGATTTATAACTTGGTTATAGGGGTAGAATTAGCTTTAGTTAAGGCTAAGTGGACAACTATGTCAATGAATGTCCTGTTTCTCTAATCCAGGCAGAGACAGAGTTCCCACAGTCATTAATCAAACCGAGTAATCTGCTAAACACACTCACACCCTTGAGCAGATAAAGACGCTCTATCAGTCACCCTAAACAGGTTTGTAACACTTGTGCCTGGTGACGACAGGAGTCACTTGTTCTGCCAACCTCTGTTATTTCTCTCAACCGTAGCCTACAAAAAGCAGCTGATTTGTTAGGCTATCTGAGGTTAATTCGATTAATATGCAGCAAAGAGAGTTGCATGGTTCAAAGCGGCATGGTTGTGTTGTGATGATACAGAATAAATGGGGTCTAAGCTCTTTTTCTGAAGAACTGAATGCACTCGTGCTTGTTTGAGATGGATCCACTTACAATTTGCTGCCTCTTGTTCATGTATTACCACTATTGTATTGTAGTGGTTGAATGCATTTACTGTGAGATGCTATGGGAGTGTGTAAGGGTGTAAATATATGTAATGTATTTGTGAGAACAAGATGTCTACTGCCAGTCATTCTAGCATCTCTGTGAGGGGCCACTTTGGCACAGCAGTGCTTTCACCTAATTGCTCACAATGACAATGCTGACATACGGATGTTTAGCAGGTAGGGTGTTTACCTTGTTCACCATCCTAGTTTAGTGTGTTAAAATTAGCTAATTAGCACTAAACTCATTTAGGTTTATGATCAATTTATTATTTTGTCAGACCAATACTTTGGTTTATGACAAAATACTTTCAAAACGAATGATTCCCATTAGCCTCAGCATGACTTTGCGTTGGTGCTAATAAACATCAGCATGTTAGCATTGCCACTGTGAGCATATTACCACACTGATGTCAACACTATAACCTCACAGAGCTTATTGATTAAAAAGATGTTTGACTAATTGTTTCAAATGCTAATGTGAAATATACTTTGCAGTTGAGTTTAATGTCATCAGATTTGGGACTGGAGTCCAGACCTCTGCTTAGACTACAGTGTATCTTCTTCGTCTGCCTCTAGAAACACAAACCACATGTGTTTTCTCTCTGATTAACACCACCTCTTCCTCTTTCCAACAGGGCCTTGTACACATATGAGGATGACAGCAATGATTTGACACTGGCATCATCAGGAGGTAAGTTTATGCTTTTCTGTCATCAGAAAATGTGACATCTTGCTGTTATTCTATTTTATGTTTAAATGAACATGGCTGCCTGTTAACATGTACGGAGATGGTTGTAATTTGCTTGCTGCAGGCCGGCGGGTGTAACTCTGATGAGCTCTGCAGGTTCTGCTGTTGCTTTGGGGGGAAAATTATCATCTTCTTTGTCTCTTGATTGTTACTGAGCCATCAGAGAGCTGGATTCATTATTACCACGGTTAATGGTGCACTGCATGATCATTACAGTCTAATGAGACTTCTCCATTTGATACACACACATGCAGACACACGACACTGTCATACAGAGCCTGTGATATTATTATTGCATCAGGTTTATGTCCACTTTAAGGAATATAGAAATACAATTTCTCACCTATTTAAAAAAAACAAACATTTATCTTATTTATCATGAATGTAATTCTTATACATAATGTTGTTACTCGCATGACATGTTATAAACAACATGTTACAATATATTTAACTGTATATAAGGAGGACAAAAACTCACAATTCACTGTAAAGGAGTATTTTGTTTAATGTTGTTTGTTTCTCAGCATAACAAATACAGGAGTTCCAGTATAATTAATCCATATTATAGGTTTATGTTACAACCATTGTTTTGAATTATTTCAGCTTTGTTTAAGAGAAATCATTTTTATTTTTTCTTCCATGGGTTTGGTATGGGGAATGGCTCTAAAAACTACAGCACACGTTAGCCTTAGCTGCTGTTGCTATGGAGAAGAAGCCAGTCAGAGGCACAAATTAAGTTGTTGGAGCTAAAAACAAAACATGTCGCCATAGTAACTGAATTCATCCAAAACAAAACTGACCCAGAATCTGAAAGTGAACTGATTTAAACTGTTCTGACTTCTGTCCTTCAGCTGTCCACAGGCTTGTACTGTGGTCATAGAAGAGCTCCAACTGTCAGTCACCAAACAATAAGTGTGCTTCTTTTTTTTACTTGGCTGAGGTTAAAAGTTGGTGTATCAGTAAAACTAAATGTGACAAGCACACATGAATACACAATGAAATATATAAGACATGATTTAAACATCCAGTGACGAGCTAAAAACCTCAGGTCAGGATTCAATACATGAAACTAACAGAAAGGTCACATTTCCATCATGTTTTCTGTGTTTTGCCATCATTTGAGCTTTAACGTAATCTGGAGAATTAGCTCCACCAACTGTTTAACTCCATCAAACAATGAACTAATAATCACATAACAGTAGTGGATGGAAATGCACATTAATGAGCATTTTCCTTTGCTGTTTTTTTTATAAAACTTTGCACAAAATTTGATTGTAAGCTTGACTCTTTGAGCAAATGAATGGGACATCCAAATACTTTCTCCCACTTCGCAACTCAATCTGCAAACTACGTTAGGGTAACTCTCCATTAGCGCAGGCTTGACATGGCTAACATGAGTAGTGTTAGAAGGAGGCCTGCTCTCATCACAAACTCAGTCATCCATGTATTAGTGCTTTCAGAAATATATAGCAGAGCAATCAGTAATCTACTCAGAAAGAGAGGGAGTAGGTTGGGTGGTGCAGCACATGCCACGTAACGGCATCATCATCGAAACCAGCCGGTGATTTTTTTTGCATGTCATACCCTTGTCTTTTTCCCCCACACTTCGTCTCTGCCTCTTACTGTCATACTGTCCCATAAAGGTGAAAATGCTCCTACAATATCTTTAAACAAGATAAGATAACAATATTCTGAAGACAACACCTGCAGTGACTCCCAAAACGACACGCAGGTGACGACATATGACCGTCATCGTCACGTGGTTAACATTGTGACATGGTCGCATTAGGTTTAGGCACAAAAACTACATTAGCTTTTGTCAAAGAACCTTGTTTTGGTAAAAAAAAAAAAAAACACAGGACACACAATCGCACAATGGACCGGCTGTTTTTCTGGTGACGACTGGCTGGACGTATCTTCATGAGCATGATAGATTTTATCAAAGAGCTGGACGTGTCTCATGTTTGTACTTTGATTTGCTTTTGATGAGGACCACGGCTTATTCTGTGAGTCTAATGTAATCATCAGCGCAGAAGTCCTGAATATAAAAACAGCCGATCACATGAGAGGAATAAACTGGAACTACTACAGTGAAGTATCTGCATCATTAATGCTGGAGAGATGCATGAGAGACAAGAGCCACTTCTGCCAGCAGTGGTTTTAGTTTCCTTCATGTCGTCAGCTTTTCCTGAGAGAGACGTGAATATTTCAGCAGTGACGGAGAGGAAACAGAGTTTATTCATCTGCGCTGTAAACCTCAGAGGAATCTCTTTGCCTCTTCAGATCAGAAACCAGTAGACCACAGTTATGTTTGTGTGTACAAATGTGTATGTAGACATCTCTGACTGGGATATGGAGAACAGGATCATAAACTGAGGCATAAAACAAGCAGCCTGGAACAGGTCTGGCCAAACAGAAACTGCAGTCAGTGGCGGAACAAATATTCAGATCTTTTCCTTAAGTAAAAACACTCAATTAAAAGTCCTGCATTCAAAATATTACTTAATTATTATGTTTTTACTGTAACAAAAAAAATGAAAGTATGGCCCCACAGAGTTATATTATTGTATGTTATTCTAAAGAGGTATTATTTCTGATGTACAGTATAAACATGTAAGAGGAATTTTAATGTTATGTCTGGTTGAGCTCATTTTGTAGTGTGACTACAGTAACATGATACATTTAAATGGGGATATTTGTGAGTCTGATTCACCCTTGTACAAAGCCTCAATGTTCCCAGACAGGATTTAGGTATTTTTAATAACTGTTTATCAGATCCAGGTGCAGATTGAAAGTTCTAAACATTATTAAAATAACACATTTAGAGGATTGTCTTGTCTTGGCAGAGTCACAGTGTATGATTGCTTTCTAGTTTGTTTCATAAGTTGATTAATTTGTTAATCTTTTACCATTTTGTGTATTTTCGATCACTGGAGGTTCAGAGCTTGTCCCTGACAGAGGACAGTCTGACAGACACATTAAACTCTTGTTCTGTGGTGCAGGGGGCGGTCTGGCAGAGATCACACTGACCTTTGACAGCGGGATGGTGATGTACGGCTTCTGCAGCCTGAAGGAGCCCACCTCCGCTCTGCCACGATACATCCTCATCAACTGGGTGAGTCGCCGGGTCAGGGGGGGAAATGAGACGGGAGGGAACACCAAACACCCTGAGCAGCGCACACACACACACACACACACACACACACACACCTACACACACGCACACACTGAAATGTCCTCAAAGCCATTTAAGGAGAATATCAGATCATTAAGGGTCACAGAACATTTTTAATTTAACAGTTTGTTTAACAAGGACACACTGTATCACTGACATTCAGGACCTAGAAACTAGGTTCTGTGTCTTCATCATCCAATCACAGAGCTGCAGCCTCAGCAAGAAAAGTCGCAGCCACAGCAGTTTACAGCTGCAGACGTACACTCAGTGACCACTTTATTAGGTACACCTGTACAATCTAATGCTATCCAATACAACTGTTCTGCTATACTTTTTTTGTGCATATTATGTTCAGGGTTTCTCTTCGCATTGTCATAAAGGTTTTAATTCAATTCTATGTTGTTGCCATGTTTCTAAATGAGAAGGACAAACAGCTCTCAGTGTTATGTAGTCCAGTACAACCTGTAACCTCAGTAATGCGGGGTGGCTGTGGTGTAGAGGCGGGGCGGGTCCTCCCCTAATCAGAAGGTTATTGGTTCGATCCCCAGCTCCTGGTGACACATGTCGAAGTATCCTTGAGCAAGATACTTAACCCTGAATTGCTCCCGATGCTGTGCATTGGTGTGTGAATGTGTATGAATGAGTTAGTTTCTGTTAGATGGGCTTTACCATCACTGAGTGAATGTGTGTGAACGTAGTGTAAAAGTGCTTTGAGTGGTCGGAAGACTAGAAAGGCGCTATACAAGTACAGGTCCATTTACACATTTAATACGTACATAATTGTATTTCCGACCGCATTTTTATTTGTTGTCATTTGGTTTTATTTGTTTTTATGCCGTTTTTAGGTTTCACATTAAACACTTATACTACATCTTGTTGCATGTCTGTACACCAATGGATCTGAATTGAGGGTTTTAGGACAGAGAGTGTTATTATATGTTGTACAGATGGAAAATCCTGAGACCAAACAAAAAACGAGCACGACAGTTAATTTTGTAAAGGGAAGTTTTTGAGGATCTATTTCCTCGGGGAGGTTTCTTATGTGGGAGTGTCCGGTGATTGACAGGAAGCAGGACATAATACACCAAATAACTCATATGAGAACATTTAACAAAAAAGATCAATAGTTTGCCTTTTATTATCTCAGAGCTCTATTAAAAAATGTTCCTCGTACCAAAAGGGAAAAAAAGATTCACTGTCCTCCGACGGATGAAAAACAAACTCTCAGATAAGTCATGTGGTCTTCTCTCTGATCAAAATTAAAACAATGCAACCAGTAAAGTGTCTCCACTACAACCACTCCCTCTCTTTGTAACACAGATAACCACAGATTTCAAACTATGATCCATTGTTGCGTTTGCATGTAGTTGTCAGCAGCATCATGAAAGCTGTTGGGATGAGAGTAATTAGATGGCTCGATTTAATTTCTTAAAGGTCCAGTGTGTAACATTTAGGATGATCTATCGGCAGCAATGGGAGGTTAATATTCACAGGTTTGCTTTCATTAGTGTGTAATCACAGAGGGAGCTGGTTCTCTTTCACAGAGGCTGCATGTTAAACCACCATGTTTCTACAGTAGCCCAGAACAAACAAACAAAACACTGGCTGTAGATATGGCCTTTTTGCATTTTTTGCAAGTTTCACAGCCACTTTAGTTTCTTTCTTCTCCAATGTTGGAAGTCTGAGCTGTATTCAAATGGTTGCAATCTGCAACCTCACCGCTCGATGCCACCAAATTCTACACACTGGTCCTCAAAGTTTGTCTACTTTTAAGTGACATGAGCGAAACAAATCTAATAATACATAATTAAAGCTGTGATGTTACCCACAAGGGCTTCTATACAGCGGTGAGTGATGAAGTATAGTATTTTTTTACAAGTTTAAATATAGACGCAGGAAAGTTTGCAGGTTGACCTACAGTAACTAACTTATTACTTTAAGAGAATGACAACAAATATATTGCTGCACGCTGTGCTTAATGGGAGTTATCCCTACTAATTTGAAGTCTGTGTTAACAAATCAGATTCATATTTGTATGCCAAAAAGAAGATAAGCACCCCATTTGACACAAATAAACACAGTGTCTACACCAAGACAAAGAAAATGGTGAATGAACAGCAACATTTCAGGTTAGACAATCATTATCAGGTGTTTCTGAGAGCACAGATGCCATCTTTACAGTGTTTTCTCTAGCGGTTTAAAATAGAGGAAAGATGTGGACAGATGTTGCCTGATGCTGTAGTGAGTATTGTAGAGACTGAACTTGTGACCTTCCAGTTACAGGCCGAAACAGAGAGAACAAGTGGGTCACCACACATGTAACAGAGCCAGAGAAATTTGTCCACCATTTAATACATGATGAAAAAGGAAATGTAACAGGAACAAATGAATAATTTGTGACGTTGGAGCTCATTTTATCGCAGCGAGAGTCTCTAGCAGTGTGTGCTAAGAGCATTTAAACAGTCTGAGTGCATCTGAGAGCCTTATGATGAATGTTTTTACTTTCTGAACTTGACATCAGCAGCGGCGCTCTGAGCGAATACATCTACATAATGAGAGAGTGGTAGAGTGGAGAGAAGAGGTGAAAAGAGAAGGATACAGGTGGAATAAAACCACCTGGCCTCCTAGAAGTTAAGTTTATAGTTTCAGCTAATTTGTGCAATAATATTTTAAAGAAAATTTAATTGCTGCCTGAATTATGGTCCCTGGTTATGTTTTTTAAAGTACCATGGCAACCCTGTATTCTAGAAATTAAGTTAATATACTACAAATTTGTAAATTTGTTTATTATTATTATTACTTATTGAAATAATGAAAAAAAGCTGTTACTGAACTATCTGGTAGTCTCAAAAAATGATTTTCTGAATTTGCTGATGTTGTTTACTGATAAAATATTTAATGTCTTTTCCATTTCAATATCTACTTGTAAAACTTAAATCCCCATTCAGGCTGGATTTATTTCCCTAGATGGGTGGATTTTAACATTTCCCACCCAAGTCAGTGATTGTACAATCAGGAAGTCACCATGGGCCTTTTTAGTCTTTCCTCTCCTTTTATTTTATTGCAAAGTGCATAAACACAGAGGTAGAAACATTAAGTGAGAATTCATTACAAGAAGACATTACCCAACATAGAAACTATAGAAATACTAATAATAGTACAGAAAACATTGTACTAATAATAAAAGAGGTGGTTTTGGGGGACACACAAGAAAAAAAGGATCAGAGAAGAAAGACTGAAGAGGGACATTAAATCAATGAGGATGGGTGACAGAGAGGGACTTAAAGGACCAGTGTGTAGGATTTGTTGGCATCTAGTGGTGAACAGAGCCAGTGTTTGGTTTGTCCTTTCTGGGCTACTGTAGAAACATGGAGTTTCTACAAGGCAACCCGCGGCATCTGTAGATAAAAACGGCTCATTCTTTGGTAACTAAAACGTAACAATTGCAATATGCAGGTGATTATACATTAATGAGTTAGTTAGTTGTGAATATTATATTCCATTTCTGCCAATAGATCCTCCTAAATGCTACCCACTGGATATTTAAGACTAGAGGAGAGAGAAAACAACAAAATACATACAGGGCTGTCATTGGATCTTTGGAATCAGAGGGGCTACTAGTGATAGGTAGAGGTCAGGTAGGTTGGGCCTGTTTGTCCCTACCCTACTGCTGGTCTACTTCAATATTAACCCAAAACCACAATATTTACCTAACTTTAACCAAGTCTGTTGGGTTGCCTAAACATGACTCGACCAAATAAAGAACAGCTATAGTTGGGAAAACAAATGGAAAAAAGGTCTGTAAACATATTGCAGATACATTCTGTATGAAGCCTTCTGCGACTTGTCAGATATGTTAACTAAAAATGTGTTTGCTGTTGCAAAGTAGTTTTATATAAACGGAATTTCTAGGAGACAGAGTTGATTGAAAAAAGGACAAAAAGCAATAGAAAGACCCGGTAATTGCAGTGAATGGAGACTGAGTGAGAGAAAGAATGAGACATTTGGTGTTTAAATGAGACTGGGAGCAGAGCCAGAGGAGTCCTTCATAACGTAACACAGCAACACTAACAGCCAAAAGAGCACCAGACCGTAGCAAACCGGGCCAAACCGGGTCAAATTATGCCAGAAATGGGCCAAAAATGGGCAAAGTGCACAAAAAAATACCGGGAATGAACAGAAATGGACCACACACATTTAAGCTCTCATCAGACACACACAGATCGATGGTTAAATGTTGTTATTAAGAGATAAATTACCATGATTTCAGATGAGATGGAGTTTCTTTCTTTGCTTTGTGCGTTTGCATTGTGTTGGTCTGAATGAGCTGTGATTACTGAATCACATGATACGACTATTTGAATAACCAAACATGGTCACAGCTGAACAAAGGCCCTAATGAGACCAAAATAAGGGAAAAACTGTCCTTGTGAATCTTGATTAAACTCAACAGAAAATAACTCCTTCAGCTTCTGTGATGTTACTGCTTCTGTTATACCTGTTTTTGATTTATTTATTTTTTTAAAGGGTAAAGGTTCTCTTTCCCTCCTCCCCCTCCATCCTTCTCTCTCTCCCATTTGTTTTGTAACCCTCTCTCTCTCTTCCTCAGGTCGGGGAAGATGTGCCAGATGCCAGGAAGTGTGCCTGTGCCAGCCATGTTGCGACCATCGCTGACTTCTTCCAGGTCAGACCCACCATGGTACCAGTACATATTCCTAAATAAATACTCTAACAGCAGGTATATGTATGTTATATTGATGTGGTTTTATTTTATTGTTTACCTTTATTGTTATTGCAGTACTACTTCACTACTTCAGGAGGAACTATATATACTTATAACATAATGAATAAAGTTAAATCAAACCACAGATTTCTATATCTTATTTTAGTAATTCCTTAAAGTTCAAATCTTCCAACTTGTGTAATATTATGAAGGCAACGCTATGATGATTGTCATGTCATCATAACCCAAATCCATTTTAGACTCCAGAAAGAAGTTTGATGTGAAACATCGTATGACAACACGTATGAACCGATGCAGCAGGTCTGAAGTGTTTGTTTCATAATCGGCTTTGGTTTTGTGTCACATGCAGAATGTTTTCTACCGATTCTTTGTGGAAAAAAAAGCTACAGAAAATTAAACCTGTAGGAGGATCAAAGAGGAGGAACAAGAGTGTGTGTGTCTGTGTATGTGTTGTGTGTGTGTGTGTGTGTGTGTGTGTGTGTGTGTGTGTGTGTGTGTGTGTGTGTGTGTGTGTGTTACAGTGCATGACTAATACCATCTCATTTTAAAGTAATTTCTGAGAGCTCGGAGCTGAATGACAATCCTCTCACCCACTGAGCGTATGTGTGTGTGTGTGTGTGTGTGTGTGTGTGTGTGTGTGTGTGTGTGTGTGTGTGTGTGTGTGTGTGTGTGTGTGTGGCATACCCAGCGGTCACACCTGTAGACCTGGCTCAGAGTGTATTTTTGGATTTGTAGAGTAGATAAAAAAGCTGAGATTGAAGCAGAGGTGATGTTTCATTTATATATGTGTGTGTTCATAACTGCCAAACTCTGTGTGTGTGTGTGTGTGTGTGTGTGTGTGTGTGTGTGTGTGTGTGTGTGTGTGTGTGTGTGTGTGTGTGTTGAAGTGTCATTATTCTAAGTGGCAGTTTTCTCTCCCACACAGCCTCGACTTCATCACATTGACGCTGCTTTCAATGACCCTTTTTGGGATCGTACACACACACAGTACTTTATTGACATGAATAATGTGTAATGTGATCGATGATCAACATATAATAAATATTATTATAATATTATACAATGTACTATACAGGACATTAGATCATATTAAATCTATCAGAAATGAATAACATCTAATAAGACTGTGTTGTCTCTTAGAGTCTCATGTTTTTACTTGCGTGATTTCTTTTCATGCATTGTTCGAGGAAAATAATTTCATTGCCAACGACTGCTTCTCTGTTAATTGTTTAAAACTTCTCTCTCCAGGGGGTGGAGGTCATCGTCAATGCCAGCAGTCTGGACGACATCGACCCGTCAGCCATCGGGCAGCGACTGACCAACGGCACAGTGGCGGTGGCAAGTCCGGTTTTGAGCCGTCTGAGAACTCGGGAAGAAGAACACGCAGACGTGGTACGAAGACAGAAAGAGAGAGAGAGACAGTCGACACAGAAAATAATTTGAGTTATTTGGGGTCAAAATTCAGATCAAATCTCAAATCTGTTTGCTTTGTTTGACTTTATTTGTTAAATGTGGCCCATTCCACAGATTCCAGTGTGAACAAGTCACGGTGCTAAAGAAACCCACATGACGAAATCTAGAGTGACGTAAAAGTCACACAAATTTTGATATGACTGTTCACACAGAGGTCGCATTGCAAAATATCAGACCTGTATCTGAATTGAAAAGATCAGATTACATGTGATTTGTGCTGTTCACACTGTCATGAATAAAACAGATCTGAGTCACATATGAGCAAAAATAAATCAGATTTGGGCCTCTTGCAGTGTGAACGTAGCCTTCGTCATTACTATCATAACTGGCTTTTATGGTACTTTAACATTTGAATGTCATAATCATTTTAACCTGGAGTAATGTCAATACCTTAAATGTAATATACTAGTAAATGAGGGCTTAATTGTTATATTTCTTTACTTTTTAGTTGTAAGTTTTCCATCAAGTTTTAGATCAGCTCTAGTCTTCTTACATTCTGTAGCTTTAAAATTCTCCACTGCATAAGAGTACCACTGATATATTTTGTATCAGGTTGTTCCAGCTTTTTGAAACCAAAGATTTAAATATCATTTTACACACATTTTATCAAAATTCTCATATTTAGTATCTCTCGATACTTTGGGATCTCCGGGCATCTATTATCTTAATCAGAGTATTCACAGTACACAGAACAGCATGTATCTGTTTACTGGCTTCAGTGTGTTTATAAGACAGAGAACATAAAGGTAATTTATACACGTTAAGACAGACATGCACACACATTGTCACACACACTGTGCCATGCATTCTAATGACTAAAGGAACTCAATCTTTCTCTCTCTCTCTCTCTCTCTCTCTCTCTCTCTCTCTACCCTCTTCCTCTCCTGATGCAGGGCACGGTGTACGAGAAGACCAATGCCGAGGTGGAGATGAAGAAAATCAATAGAGAGGAGTTTTGGGAGCAGGCCAAGGTAGGTGTGGAATAGCAAAGAGGGAGGGAGTGAGAGGACAAAAAATAAGATGTATGAAGGAAGGAAATAAACAGTTTAATCCTGCATCATAAACTAGCGAAGTTAAAGGATAATTCTGATTATTACAAGTTATTACTTAATTAGTGTTGTATAAAAACAGTTACTGTGAATCCAAGTTGTGTTTGGAGTCGAGTGGAAGTGAAGAACAAAGTCAAACGACTGCATCCTCCAGCTGTGTTGCCTTCTGCACGTTCGAACAAAATGCAAAATGACAGCGTGCTTCATGGAGCTGCAGGGTGTCCACTGGATCTGCCCTTCACAGCTTCAGAGACTCTGAAACTGTAGATATCAAGTTGAACGGCAAGATTCAGTATCAGAACAAGATTAATCAGGTAGTGCACCAAAAGATATTGCCCATGCATAGGTAAAAAAAAGTCCCCTTTCATAGAAGATACAAAAATGCCAATTATCTCTTCCCAGCTTCACCTGAAGGCATCACCATGGGCATTTAGGCTGACTTGACTCATGTTTTTTCTTTGTTTTTTCACTCCAGCGTGAGGAGGAGATACGGAAGGAGGAGGAGAAGAAGAAGGCTGCAGAGGAGCGGCAGCGCTACGAGGAGGAGCGGATGGAGCTGGAGAGGAAAGAGCAGGAGAACCGAGAGAAGAGGTACCGCGAGAGAGAAAGGCAGATCGAGGAGCACAGGTGAGGAACAGATACACTAAACACTCAACATCATACTGATAAATGAAAAACCAAATTTCTGAAATAACATCTGCAGAGAACTTTTAACAGTCCCTCCTTCATTTTGAGTTCAATATGAGTTTAACCCTGATTTGGGTCTGACACATGTTCACATCACACAATCTTTTCATTTTCTGAAGGTGTGGTGCTTCTGTTCATGATACACGGGTGTAACTTTGCTGTGGAAAAAGTAAAACAGTGTAAAGTATCATCTAATGCGTGTGTTTATGTGTGTGACAATAGGAAGAAACTGCTGGAGGAGGAAGAGGCCAGAGAGAGGTTGCGGAACCAGACCACGATCGTAAGTTTCTGTCATCTAACCAAAAGAGCAAAGAGTGCAACATAATGTGTATAAATTAAAATGGTAATACATAAAATAAACAATAAGGGTAGATATGAATAGTTATATACAATATTATAATATTATTATGACTGCTGCTCATTAATCATTAATTGCAGTAACAAAGTGTTTGATTTCTCCTGCTCATCTGTCTCAATGGCACAAATATACACTTCTTTACTTGTGTGTATAGCAAAGGAAGTGAAACACATCACTCCTGGAGTCTCACTTCTCTGTGTTATAAGTGTTGTTCAGGTGTGTTTTTAGTTGATTGTTTCTATTTCTGCTCCCTCGGCCAATCAGACCATCACTTCCCTTCCCAAACAACCACGAAGACGTCGTTTGCAAGCCTCCATTTTTTGTTCCAGTGTCACGCTGCGACCAAAAAGTGAAATCAATTTGTGTGACAGTGGGGTTTGTTTTTAAAAAGAGAGTGATTATATGCTGTGCATGAATTTACTTTTTATTTTACATTTTTGACAGAACTATTAGAACATCTTGCAATCAGCTGCCTGCTGCGTCGTAGCACAGCTGTGATATTTCATCTAATCTTCTGAACATCTTAAACTCTGTCCTGGTGGTGACTTCATACACAGCAGTTATATTGCCTTGCAGGGCACTTTAGGAACCGTTTGTTACTGATGGAAGTGGGGGAGAGACCAGCAGGTTGTCAACGACTGGGCTGCTTTCCCAAATAATAATAACACCCAGAGGAGCCGTAATCCTTTTCCAGAGGCACTGCAACGAGAGAGCAGAGGGTCTAACTGATATTATACATACTTTGTCTGATTGGTAAAACATGAAACTGTTGGTCCAGAAACTTAGTTAAACTATAAAACTACTAAATACATTTTGAGCAGTGGAGCAAGTATTCAGATCCTGGAATAGAAGTACTAATACCACACTAAAAAGTAGTAAAAGTAAAAGCACTCAATCCAGACTCTGACTGTTATATATCATTAGATCATTGTTATCACTCGTGCATTAATGTAAGGCAGGATTGTACTTGTTGTAGTTGGTTTAGGTGGAACTAATTTCCTATAGGACTGTAACTAATGATAAACTATTTTTCTCCATTAATTCTAGTAAAATAGTAAAAAATTATAGTAAAAAATGCTGTCACAATTACTCAGACCCCAAAGTGACACCTTCACAATGCTTGTTTTAGCCTCCCAATCGTGCAAACTTTAAAATTATTCAATTAATAAAAAGGAAAAGAAGCTAATTCTCAACTGAACATCATATTTAACTCTTCGTGTGTTTTCCTATTGTCATATATTGCTGAGAAGTACTGACAATATGTGATGTTATAATAAATAACCCTTGGCCACATCATACTGGTTTTCAATCATACTTCCATGTGATCAAGAAACAAGTATTGTTTTGCATTTACTGTATGTGGCATTATACAAATGATAGTCTTATAAAATGTGCTCAGAAAGGCTGTTCCACCAACTACAAGATTAAAAACGAAATGCAGCTTCACCAGATTGTTTTAACTGACCTTCTCTACATCAAGATGACACCTGTTAGATCACCTCAGAGCTCTGAATGTACCTATAATGATTTAAAAATTTCAGAAAATCATTAATTTGTAGGAACTGCTCCAAAAAAAAGCCTACTTCTTTTTTCATTTTCCCTTTAGTGAACATTATTACTGCTACTAGCTCCTCTGTGGTGTTGATCTTTGCTCCTGAATGTGTTGTCTGGTGATAAACTCAGTCTCTATCGCCCCTCGCTGGCGGCATTGTGTGTGTATGTTGTGTGATCTCTCCCTTCAGAGAGTCAGAACATTCCTGGAAAATCCTTATGATCTGCTTTTCCCCTGCTTTAGGTTCGAATCGTTAAATTACTGCTTTGCAGCAAGTTTATTTTTTTATCTGTATTCTATTATCTCTGCAGGCAGCAGAGCCGAGCCTCGAGGACCTCAACCTGGACAAGAAGGATTCAGAGGTGGAGGTGAGTCTGACAGGCAAACTTTATCTAAATCAACAAAAGCTAAAGTGAAAAACAAGTACAAGTCAGAGAAATTAATGGAAATAAATATTAGGTTATTATTATTAAGGTCATTAATCCACCCAAACACATTTATAAAATGGGTTTTTAAGGAATTAGTGAAAGGATAGTACAGATGCTGTCACCACCCAATAGAAAACTTCTTAATTTATGATTTTGGATCAGCCAGTTTCTGGGACTGGAATTATCAGTATTATGTTCAGTAACAGTATTTTATTGGCTTATTACCCAGAATCTTTTATTAGCTGCCCAAAAGCATGATTAAACCAGTTCTAAACAAATATTTACCCTACACATGGGAACATACCTGCAGCCGCAGCAGTTTAAGCCTGAGCAGATAGATGACTTTGTCGGGACAGCTAAAGGATAAAACCCACTGATATTAAACACACGTAAGAGTAAAGTTACTCCAAAAAATAGTGATAAGATATTGTCGCAGTCTCAACCCTTCTATTAAAAAACATCATCTGGAGCAGATTTATTTGGTATTTATTAGCTGTTATTTCCTGATTCCAAACTGCTGGTATTTCTTTTAGTACTTTTTTATATAAACTTTTCTTATAAAAGATAGAAATTGCTCTATTTTTAATCTATTTTGACAGAGCTATCCTCTGGGATAAAACTTATATGTAGTTTATCTGTGTGTGTTTGTTTCCAGGAGGCGAAGGCCATCATCGCTCAGCGGTCAGGAAATCCACGAGAGTTTTTCAAGCTGAAGGAGAGAGCCATGACCATCAGTGTCGACGTCTCGCCCATCTCCGTCCACAGGACCGGTAAAGACTTCAATACTCACCTAACAATTATCTTTCAGGTTCAGTTTATTCTCATGTAAACACTGACCATGAAAGCAGAAAAAGACCACACGACAGCAGAGAGGACTTGCTGTAAATGAACTAAAGAGGTTTATACTAAAATATACAGTGTGTACATACAGTGGACTCAACTAAGCAAAAATATTAAATCAAACCAGTAAAGCTGTGTTCATCTTTCCATTCACAGTCTTAAAAAAGTTTTTAAAACAGGACAGAGTTTTTACATCCTATTTTACTCACAAAATGCAATTTTTGAAAATGCATTTTTCAGGTTTGCCCATTTGTGCCTGTCAGTTATTGTTTTTTAAGGCGACATGACAGAGCACAGTGCACATTTTTACTGTAAATTTGTGCAAATGCAGTTGCAATAAAAACAAAACATCTACCTCCAACAATGGTGCACATTTTACTGTGGTAGCTGCTCAAGGTAGAGCTAACCGCTTTTTTATACAGTTCATTTAGACCAGGTCCCAGCCTACGGGTCGGAACTCTCTGAAGGGTCACCAGACAAATCTGAGGGGTCGTCAGACTATTAATGGAAGAAATAAGAAAAAATTAAGTTCTGGTACACGTTTATATTTATTTTTTTTGCTCTGAAATGTTTCTGTCTCTTTGGTGGAACTGTTGACAGACATGGGGCAGAAGGACAGACAACTACTAACAATTTCATTTTCATAGGTCATATGCCGAAAATGTTGAGAACCACTGGTCTGATATCTCTGAATTGTAGTAGAGTTAAAGTATAAAGTGGCATTTATTGATAAGAAGTACAAGTTCCTGAAAATTGTACTTACATACAGTACTTGTGTACAGTAAATGTACAGTACTCTCTACTTGTGGCCAGCGATACCCAGCTGAAAGAAGAGACTGAGTCAGTCTGCAGGCATTAAGCACATCAGTTTCCTGTCCTGGCTGAGTGTGAAGTCTGTGATGGAGAGATGAAGCACCTGAAGGAGCCTCCAGTTGTGGAGGAAGGGAGTGGGTGTGAGATGTCATCTGAATCATTATGTGTCAATATGACATTAATCACATCCAACATCTCCTCAGCTGCTGCTTGCGTAGAACCAGAACTTAAATGTTTCATTTTCAGAGATTTATCATGTATTTAAAAAGGTGTTTGAAAAATAATTTATTACCAAGAGGAAAGAGTTCACATCTTTTCACACTGGAATCACAGGATGAAGGAGTCCACACTGTAAAACCACCAGACAATCTCTTCTCTTACCGTTGGATGGCTTTTGCTTTTTCATGTGATTTTGATTTTTAATTTGCATACTTGCATTGTTGTACGCTGTTTGTCTGTAGCGTAAGTGTTTGTCACGACCCTGCTTCAAACAGAGAGGATGTAATGTCCACTGGGGAAGGGTGGAACATGTCCCTTTCATATATTTGTTACTCCACTTTAACATTTTTATGATGATTTTCTCACTAAAATCAAACAATCCTCTGACTGTCTGCTGTAGTATACAGACTTTCTTTGCCCTGGATTTTGCCTCTCAGGCTACGTATCAGTTTTTATAGAGTATATACTACAGGAGTTTTTGTTCCTGCTTCCATGCAGTTTGAAGTAGATGTAGTTCTTCCCTAGACTCTATGTAAAAAAGTTGCCTGAAGGCTGTGTTTGGACCGTGTATGTGGCCTTAATTTGAATGAGGCCACTTGTGGTGGGGGCTCTGGGGAAAAGGCTCATCATTCCAACAACAGCTTGATTTACAGTTAATATTAAAAAATATGCTACAATTAAACAGAATACAGTAAAAAAACATGATCAGGTCTCTGTTAGGGAAACTAAATATGAAGTATTAAGTATTAAGTATTGTTGGTGCATTAATCATTGAGCCATTTACATGAGATTATTATCATTTTGCAAAACAATTTCATCATAATGTGTAATTTGCAAGCAAAGAAGCAGGAGATTCATGTCTTCCGATCACCAATATTAACAGAATTTTCAGAGACACAAAATTATGTTTTTCTTTTCTGGGATTTATTATTGAGAAACATAAATTCACAGGAAAAATGTAAGTTAGATACCTGAGGATGAAAAAACAACAAACTCGTTTCATTTCTGCCTAACTGCATGCTGTCAGTCAGTGTGTTTAAAGCCACACTAACTGCTTTTCTTTCTTTCTCTCTTCTTTCCTTCTGTCTTTCTTTTTTCCTTCCATGCGAGGTTTCTTCTGCACTCATTTGACCCAACATTTGTGTTCATCATCCTCATTCCACCTCATTTCGCTTCACTTCTTCATTTATTTGTTCACCCATCCCTCCACTCTTTTTCATCTTTGATTTCTCCATTTTGTGACATTTTGTGGTAACCATTTCTTTCATTTCCTCCTCCACTTGTCTTTTTCTGCTTTATGGCTTTCCACGGGACTCTCGGCTTTTCCCACAATCCTCTCTGCTTCTCACTTTTTCCTCTGGGGCTGAACTTCTTATGTCTTGACTCTGACCTCTCCTGTATTCTTCTTTCTATTCTCCCTCCCTCTTTTGCTTTTTGTCTGTCTTGTCTTCCTGTCTCGTCCATCTTCCCCACATCTCTCTGTCCTGGTGCGTCGCTTCGTGTCTTTTGTTACATGTTTGTGTTTGAATCTTCGTGATCGGGTGTGTGTGGCTGTGTGTCGTCCCCCGACCACCAGGCCGCTTGGACAGCCCGTTCTTGAGGCAGCAGCACAGTCCCAGCAGCCCCAGTCCGACTCCCCCACCCTGGCGCACGTCGCCCCTCCGTACCCCGCCACACGCACGGACGCAGCCCGCTGCTGCAGCCGGTAGGTACAGCACATAACCGATAAACAGCAGAAGAAGAAGACCGATGGACACTAGCAGATTGTTTCGAACATCCCTCCCCAGACACAAATCCCCTCCACAAATATGGAGGCTGAAGTTGAAACACTAAAGGAGAATGAAACTGCATGTGAATTAAAAATGTGAGCGATTAAATACACAGGGAACATTTACATGCACACTAATATCCCAGTTTTGAGTCTTATTCTCAAACACAACCAGAAAACTCCAAAAACCTGATCACATCGGGGTACTAGTGTGCAGATAAACCTCCACAGAGAGAAAATGAACAAAAAAATTCCACTTTAAATTTGGGACAAGAACGTTACAGGACTACTACAGGACTTCTGGAAAAGCCCTTTTAGTTAAAAGGTATTTTGATTCATCAGAAATCAGTGTGACAGTTGTATTTCCACAAGGAAAGGTAACTGTAATTTTCTAACAGCAAGACTTTCTTCCAACATTGAAGAAAACAGAAACAGAGGGGAAATTTGAGGTTAGCTGGTCAGATCTGATGATACTTTGTTAGTTTCTAGTATAAAATAACAGAAGTAAACATCAAAATTTTACTCAATAAAGGAGGTGGGCACATTTTCAAATTGTTGTACCATCTGTCTTGAGAGACAATCAGTAAGCAGTGAGGCCTCTCCGACAAACACGGTTTACCACTTTTTCTGTCCACATGCATTTTCATAATCTCAGTTTTAGTATTTCCTTTCCATAATTCACTCAAATTAGCACACACACACTTTCACAAGCCACACATCTGCGCACCAACCCCTTAAAACCACCTCACCTCCTCCCACCGAATTCACCCCCTACCCTGCCCTCCGTTCCCAAAGACTGAACGACAACTTTCATCCCCATCGATTTATTTATGTTATTTTAAAGCAGGTGATTCTCATATTTGAAATTCTGGAAGTGATATTTGAGTGAGTCTTCTTCTTGTCAACAAGTCCCTTAAAAAGACCCAAACCAACAATGAATGTATACTATTAACAAGTATCGTGTGTGTGTATCTTCTTCCTCTGTACCATAGAGCTCCATTTTTGTCCAGAAACGTTTAAAAACATGTCAGTGAGTCACACTGTTGCACTGACATATTCATTACCATGAACACACACTGTAGTTTATTTTGACTCAATCACACGTACACCGTCCTGCTGCCCCAAATACTGACTAGAGCACGAAATGTGGATTAATCGCCGCTAAAAATAGTCCCGAACAAATGCATTATTTTCTCCTGTTTGTTTGAAAAAAAACAGTTTGAGGAAATTACTTATTTAAAAAAAAAAAATTAAACTATACATTTGTGAGGTGCTTTTAAAGATTTACATTGTGGGTTTTTGGTCCTTTCATGGGATTTGTTGACTATGAGAAAAATAAAAAATAATTAAAATATTTAGCAGTAGCAACTTTATCAAACACTGAAAACCAAATAACTGCAAGTAATTCAGTAGTAAAAGAGCAAAAATCCTTAATATCAAGTAAGAAAAGCCAAACGAAATCCAACTTTTGTTGTGTTTTTAAAAAATCCTTTACATGTATTTTTAGAATGGTTGTGTCAGTATTATGTTCTACCTATAGGATATTTTTAAAAAAAAGCATTTTGAGCCTTAAACTGTTTTGTTATTCTTAGCCAAGGTAGTCTCTATTAAACCATAACACAGTTTTGGCTCATCTGCCTTTCAGCTTGTAACCTTCCTTGCTAAGCTAACAGGCTAACACACGCACAAGCATTTCACTAACTGCCACTCAATAATAAAATATCTTTTTATGGCTGTAAACCATAAAGCTGTTTGTCGGTTTGTGTGATAGATGTTGAGTCTGTCGTCACGTCAGTCTTCATCCTTTAGATGTCGTCCAGTCAGCTGTTTTTTTTTTCTGATGTTTTATGGTTCATATTAGCGACAAGGTGACTTTACTTCTCTCAGGGATGAAGAGCTGTTACTTTAACTACAGGACCTCATTGGTTTTCTTTCACCTCCCTCCTTTTCTGATCCTCAATCTCTTGCCTCTGATCCTGGACTGCATCACCTCCCTGCAAACAAACACCCATACACACACTTCCTCCTGCTGCTTTTAATCCTGACCGACTGATCGACCTGTGAGTGTTTGTGTATGAATGTGTGTGTGTGTGTGTGTGTGTGTGTGTGTGTGTGTGTGTGACGTCGTCGAATCGTCCGTCAGTCGCAACCGCTGTTTGTGGGCCTTTGACTGAATATGGATCTTTGCCCTGTGACCTCTGTGGAGTTGATCTAGTTGTCATTCTTTTTGAAGACCATAACGGTGATTTTGTATGTTTTAGCCCATTAAAAGTATCAAACACCTGAAAGTACTGCCTACGTTCCTTTAAGAAACTTTTTAAAGTTATCCAGCAAACAAACCAAAAACAAGGACATTGTAAAAAAAAAGCCAAATATCGGATGTTTTCAATTCCCTAAATGTATTAAAGAAGACGAGTTTTCGTCATTCTCTCAATAACATCAAGGCAACTAAATGTTTATTAGTTTTAAGGGTCAGTTAACAAAAAAGTATATAGTCTTACTGATCTCTCATAGTATCTATCCATGCAGACACAGGGGCAGCTCTAGAGAAATATTCATGACGTAGCAGGAGGTGGGAATAGAGACTTGAAATGTGTGACAAAATACTTGTGCTTTTTTCAGCGAAAATTGAATTTATGATGCAAAAATTATCATTCCCACACTAATCATGAATCATGTTGCAATTCAAAGTTGAATTTCATAAATGTCACTTTGATCAATGCTGAGAGCACCACAGACACAAAATCCCATTTATCTCCATTGTATCGGGGTGGAGGCAGAAATCTGAGATATCTCAAAATGTTGACAAACCAAAAGTGTCTGCATGGCTAAACACCACTAAAGGGAAGGCAGAACATTAGTTGTTTTGGGGAGAATCAACAATTTAGGATATGGATAGCAATAATGTAGTTACTGGGCAAAATCATGCAGACCACCTTTATGACCCACAGTGTGTGTTGTTGCATGTATAGAGGTGCTGTGAAGGCAGATATTATGCTGGGTGGGCAAAGAACCAGTTCATCCCTGTTCCTAGTGACAGCTGACGATAAAAACCAAGTATCTCTAAATTCTCCTTTAATATAAAAATGGTATTGGCAATTTTCCATTATCCATTATTAGAGCGGTTTTTGAGCACCAGGTGAATTGGAGAACCCACCCATGCAAGACCTCCGCTGAGCTGGATGTGATTTGTCATTTTTAACAGGGTCGCACATCTCAGTCAGCCGTTTGTTTCCCGTCAAAGTGACTCCGTTGTTCTTCGTCTGTGGTCTATTGTGTTCGTGTCCTCTGGGAAATCTTGTTCTGGTCTCTGAACAGGACGTCTGACTCCAACAAGCATGAAATCATCGAACATCTGAGAAAAAGTGACGTTTTCATTGTGAAAAGTGATTCTCTTGGCCGTAACTGACACTGTGTTGATGTTTGTCATTATGAGTTGTATTCCTGGACGTCGTCTCAGCATTGTGACTGTGACTCATATTTACATTGATGGCATATTGATGAATGTTCAGAGGATATCTGATGAATGTTTCATTACTTGCTGGATTATAGTGATTATGTCTTGGCTTTGGTGACCCATATACTTGTTGGAATATGCCACTATTTATCAATTTGCTTCAACTTCCCAGGCTCTTGACTACCTCTTCTGTCTGTATAACATGTCCAGTGTGTACTATGGGCATCAATTGAGTGTCACATGACAATCCGCCCCGTGTTTGTTGCACTTACGTCTTACACTGCAATCCAAAGAGAGGGTTGAACAAGACAAGAGTTTACAACTAGCAGATCTGTGAGGCTGTATTGAGGTACTTTGTGCTAAATGTTAACATGCTGAGGTATAATGTCAGGATCTTTACAGCTGCTAATTAGCACTAAACAGAAAGGGCAGCTGAGGCTAAAGGAAATGTGGTTAGTTTTTAGGTAATAAACCAAATTAAAGTGGAGAAATTAAAACTTTGACCTGATGATGGCACTAGATCAGGGGTAGACAACCTGTGGCTTTGGAGCAGGATGTGACTCTTTAGCCTCTCTCCAGTGGCTTTGAAAAATAATTGTATGGAAATGAGTAACACATTTTTTTTAACCTTTTCATTTATCATGGAATTCTGACATTCCTCAATTGTTAAAGTGTGTAGCCATCGCACACCAAATTAAAAAAATGCTTTAGCATAAAATGTATGAAATGTTGGCACCTCTCCTTTATATTTTGCTGAACATCAATCAAATCAATCAAACACTGGCTACTGGTCTTGAGTCTCCCTAACTAGGCTATGAAAAGGAAATTGCTTACACAACCAACACTGCTGGCCAAGTATGCCTGATCTGCAGAGAATGATTAGGCTCATATATGTTCTGCGGCTCTAGACAGAGTTTATTTGTTATTTTTTGGCCAAAAAATTTTTTTTTTTGGTAGTGAAGGTTAGATGAAAAGTCAGAGGATCACCAAAGTCATTAGGATACACCTTCTGGGGACCATGAATGTCTGTACCAAAATGCTAATCCAGCTTGTAGATAACTAAATATTTAACTGGATATGTAAAATGAAATGCACCTATTGGTGGCACTAGATGAAAAGTCAAAGGATCACCAAAGTCATTAGGATTCATCCTCTGGGGACCAAAGTGGTGACCAGCTGATCTGCAGACTGACATTGGCATTCCTAGAGCCGAGCTGTATTTTACCACCAAGATTGGTACTCAAACATGACGGAGAGCAAAAGGTCATTTTGGGACTTTTGTCTTTCACTTTGCTCTACACTTTTTCATCTACTACAGATTAAATATTGAAATAAAATATAACTTTAAATGCAATTAAGGAGTCCATCCTCCACATGACCTTTGAAATGCTCGACAGTATTTGAGATGTGGGTGTTCAGAGGTCTGAAAACAGGCTCTGTGACTGTATCTGTCTGTTTGCTGGTTGTGTGATGGCAAAAGTGATGTGATTGCTGTGATTTATTGTGTTGAAGTAACACAGGATGTGACTGTAGGTTCGAAAATCAGACAGCTTTACAGCATTGAAGATTCCTGTTATACTTTCAATGAAGAAAACCTTTCTTAAAAACATATCGATGTCCATTATTACAGCATGACCTTTAAGTTAATCCGCAACATTCTGTGTTAGTTCAACATATCTGGTTAATGAGGGTGATTTTGTTGTTCTAGGGCGTATGTGGAGAGGACTTTTGTTCTGTACCTTTTCGATGTTGTTGTACCATTTTGTCCCTATAGGGGACAATGATGACGAAGCGAGGACAGAGCGCAACATGGCCGCCGTGTCACCCATTCCTAAAATAGTCACCACGCCCATCAAAGAAGACTTCAGCAGGGATGAGGAGGACTGCAGAGATGAGTGGGGTAAGAGTGAAAGTGAACAGTCAAGAACGAGTCCTCGCCACAGGTTAAAATATACTCAACCTTCAAACAAACTTAGTCCAGTTACGTAGATGTTTATACATCTTAAGAGCTGCAAATCATCAAATCAGTTGGTGATGGACTGGGTTAAGAGGAAAATTAATGAATTATTATTAAATTGGTGTTGTGCTTGTTTTCTACCACCAGATTCGGTGCCAAAGCAGGAGCAGAAACCACCGGTCCAGGAGTCGACACCCACCAAGCCTGTGCAGAGTGTCGCCCCGCAGGCCCGAGACTCCTCCGACTTCTCTGTGTGGGAGTCCGGGACAGACAGCCTTGTCAACCTGTGGGACAGCAGTTCCGGTGCTCCCCCTAACCCGTCCCAGTCCTCCAATCTGGTAGACCTGATGGGCGATCATGATAACGTCCCGCCCAGCACCGCCGCCGCCACTGGCAAGCCTCAGCCCCTCCTTAGCTTCGATGATATGATCGACGGGACCTTCTGCTCGGGCACTGCCCCAGAGGACGACCCCTCTAGTCTGGTGGACGTGACGGCCTCTGACCAGATGACCCTCAGCTACCAGCATGCACTGCAGCATGCATCCGGGGAGAGGCAGGAGCTGGATGACGGACAGCTGCTGATGACCAATGGGGAGACGCTGCTGAAAGAAGGGACTCAGGTCAGACAGGTTAATGCTGCTGCTGTGCACTAAAAAGAGGTTTTCTGTCTTTTTGTTGGTTGATTGTTGTCTTCTCTCTGTTGGTTCTTATAGGCGAGCGAGGGCTATTTCAGCCAATCACAGGAGGAAGAATTTGGCCAATCAGAGGAGTCTTCAGCTAAACCTGCACCGGTCTTTTATAACAAGCCACCAGGTGAGATACTTATCTGAAAAGAAGACTGTAAATGCCTTTTTATTTGATGTTATTCATTATTTATAATAGTATAATGTACTTTTACACGGCAATATAGTCATTTTATACTCACCACTCCTGTTTTCATTCACTTATTATTTCTAGTCACTCCAAGTTTGCTCGGTTTTTGGATTAAGTGTCCATGATCTCCAAGAAGTAACCGGTTTTATTAGCGACTGGCCTTTATTATTTAATGCCGGCTCAGCCAGTATTTGGACACCTGGCTTTATTTGAGAATGTATAGTATGTTTAATTGTAGAGGGTTTTCAGGTGACATGTCCCCATTTGGCGACCATATGTAAGGTTGTAGTTTGTGGTGCTGTTTAGCTGTATACTGACGGGTGTTTTAATTATTGTGTCCAGTGAGGGTAGAAAAAATAACAGAAACACCTCTCTATAATAATAATAATAATTGTATTAAACTTTATTTATATAAAGAAAAAAATGAAGAAAAACCATGCAAGACAGATAAAATAAGAATAAAGGACAGGCATAATAGAGGAGGTAAAAACAATACAATTAATAATAATGAATAAATAGAATTAAAACCAATAAAATAATAATTAATATAATGCAGCCACATATCACCATTATCATACCAGAAATCAATGATGTCTTAGTTATCTAGAATAAATTAACTCAACAAGCATGTTTGTGTGTTTGTGTGTGTGCGTACAGAGATTGACATTACGTGCTGGGACACGGACCCCGTGGTTGACGATGACGATGACTAAGCGGCCAATCAGACACCACCACCGGACCAAGAGGAAGTAGGAAGTGCGCTTCATGAAGAAACAGATTTTTTTCTAAAAAACAAAACACAAACAAACAAAAAAAAAGTAATAATAATAACAAATCTTGCATCAAAACTACTTCTGTATTATCTTTTAGAGGACAAGAAAACAGTAGCCACCGAAAAAAAGGTTTGAGTTATCGTTAAAGAAGGTTTGAAAGCTCAGTTATGGGTTTTTTTTCTGTGTGTTTGTTATTTTATTTATTTGTTTTTTCTTCTTCTTTTTTTTTTTTTGCTATGCAGATGTAATAGCTGGGAGCGGGGGGACGTTGTTTGTGTAAATGATTTATTACACATGAACGTAGCGCGCACTGCTGCATATTAGAGACGATGAAGCCCAGTGTGTGGCAGGCAGCCGACACACCTAGTCTGTAGTGCTTTAATAACACCCTATAAAACTAATACAGTGGATCATTACAGCTGCCATGTATATCTTCACTCTCTTTCTTTTCTTACCTCTTTTTCACCTCCCTCCTTCTTTCTGCCTTCCTCACAAAATATTCACCTCTGCAAGTCAGTTAATCTTGTAATTTAGTCCTCACTTTATTGGGGAAAAAAAGGTGAAATATTTAATTTATTCTGCTGAATCTTAACGTCTTTCACTAACAGCTGAGGGAATCCTGACAAAGTCCAATCTATTCTCAAGGTAAAAATTCTAATTGTCGCTCCTTTTTGACCTTTTTCACTCCTTTTGTATGATTTTAAGACTGAATTCAAGATTAAATGGCTTGTAAATCTGGTTGCTTTTTTCAGTGCACTTTTATTTCTCCTTTCTGCCTCCTTGTGGATGAACTGCAGCTTCTCAATCAGCCCTCCCCTTTCTGGTTCCATAAAATCCATTGTTTCTACCCCACTTCTATATTTACACGAGCGTCCAATCTAGATGAATATACTGTAGATATTTTTCCAAGTGTTAACAGTTTTTTAGGAGAGTTTGGCTTTGTGGTAATGAACATGAAGCCACCTTCAGCTTGTGCACAGTAAAAAAAATAACAATGAATCCTTTGTATGATTCTCATTATTCTGAAATTTCCCAGCTGGTCCTTCATTTATGGACAACAGTCGGCACAGTTCCTCTTCAGAGTCAGGGAGGTTTTAAATAATAATAGTTTTAATGTTTATTTCTATCTGTTAATGTCCCACTCATTATGGATGAAGGAGGGAAGTTGGGATGAAACCGTTGGAAGCAAATTTGGGCCACACGATGCCTACAAATATCACTTTGTTTCTTCTTTGTTTTAATCTGCATGGAGAACCAGATGTATTGATGTGATCGGGTCAAATTTACAGTTCAATTTAAATTATAGATCCCAAAATCCAGAATTAGTCTAAGAGGCTTCACACATTCTGCACAATGTAGAGTTTATGGAGATCTAAGCAGCCATGAAACACCTTTATTGATATATTATACTATACTAACTATGTAAAAATCACACCAAAAGGTTTTGTTTACCAGACAAGAAGCGTCTAACAAAAGACACTATTGAGTTGCATCATGGGAAGTGTAAGATCCAGTGTTTTTGGAGCTTGACCCATTGGGACCAATGGTGGACTACACACTGTCTCAAGTACTGTATTAAGTACAAATCTGAGTGTTTTATTTTATACTTCAGCTCCACTATATAATCTGTCAGCTGTAGATTCAAAATAAAGGATCAGTTAATAATATTTCATATATCAGTGCTTCACTCATGGGAGCTATTTTCTGCTTTTCCTTTACTTTCTGAAGTACTTTTTTTAAATAACATTTTCATTGGAAACATCTGAGTGTGGTGTTGCTGATTTTACCTGAAGGACAAGTTCACATTTTTAAGTCCATCTTAAAACTATTCTCAAAAGTTCAGCTGAATCAAAGATAAGCAGATAAATCAAGTGTTTCAAAGTCTTAAGTGTGAATTTACAGGATTTAATGTTGGAACATTCCTGCTTGATTTATCTAAAGCCTCATATTAGTTTCATCTGACCTCTGTAATGTAACTCAACACAGAAAAAGGACACTGGAGTTGCTTTAGGAAGAAATATTTTCACAGCCAACAATAACAGCAGTCAATAACGCTTTAAATAAACACATGGACCCTGTGAGTATTGCATTACGACAGAATGTGAGGTGTCTGAATCCTTCCTTCACCACCGTTAGGGACTAAAAGTTAGCAGATTTCAGCCTCTTCTGCTCCGTCTTTGATTTTTATGTGTGTCTTGTAAGTTCCTAACTTTACAGAAGAATCACCAGAACAGTATTAAGGCCTTCTGTAAAACTTCAGCCACTGTAGGAAGGGATGCCACCATTGGACTTTGTTTCTCTTCTGTGATTGTTTCCATATGAGGTAACCAGACCTATAAAGCACCTAAGCAGGCTAAAGTCGACTGTAAAAATATCTGCAAATTCTGCAGAGTGAAGGTCTGTTGGTGAGAAATGAAGAGAAGCAGAGATCCCGAGGGCCCCGAGTTGATGAGCTGAAACTGAAGTCTAAGTAGTTGATATTTGGAAACTCAGACCACATGTGCTCAGTCTCAGTATTTTAAAATGCAGTTACAAACATCTGTGCATGTGGGATGGACAAGACAACAAATACCAGAACATTTTAAGCAAAGAAAATTACATCTGGTTCTCCACGTAGCTCAACCCCCCCACAACTAAAAGCCACTTTTAAATACTGACCCACGTCTGCTGCCCGACTGCTTTTGTTCTGTGCCAATGCAAAAAGCACCGTATGTATTTCATTTATTTTTTATTGATGTGATATTTAGTTGCCCTGGAAACTGGAGTGAGAGGTGGGGCGGGCTGAGGCAGGAGGTGTGTGTGTTTTTAATACCTGTCAAAAAGTGTGCTAGAATTGATTTTCAGGACCTTTTTGAATATTAGCAACAACAGTGTTAGTCTTTTTTTGCTGTAAATTCCTGTAGAAAATAAAAAACTCCTAGGCAATAATAACACCTGTGTGTGTGTAGAGCACCTGGATACTGTGTGTGTTCACCTGATGGGAAGCTGCTCAGATTATCTGGCTCGTTCGTTCACAGACCAGCAAATCCTGATGTGAGACCCGGTTTGATTTATACCTCTGAATCCTGAACGATCAGGGGCGCGTCCACATCCGACATTCACCAAATTATATCAAATTCTGTAAAATGAGGCTCAATTAGTGAATAAATATGCAACTCTTCATTTTATTTTGCCATTTTTTGTCTCATCATTCATAACTGTGAACATGTCTCTGGAGAGTCTATAAGAAATCTTGATCCTAAATGTGGCTGAGAAGTGTTCAAGGTTACATCGTCAGTCACTTTTTCGTTCTGATTGAAGATTTCTGGTCAATTGTTTACATGGGATGTGGACTAATACAATCTGGTGTTAAAGCACAGAAAGAAGTCATGAAGTTCAGCTTGGAAGCTGCCATTTTCTGTATTATTTATTTACATTTTTAACACCTTGAAATACAGCCTTTTACATTCATATAATCAATAAATCATAAGATCGCTGCATTTACACAAAGAAGAACAATAAAGGGGAAAAAATAAACATAACACTTACAAAAAACCTTCAAAACAGATGGTAATCTATCCAAAATTGACTATATTACTTGTAAGAAGATGCAAAATAAAACAAATATTTGAAAGAGAAAATTCTACTAGGTCAGAAACCGCATTGTTCACAGAGATTAGTCATCCACTGCTGGGAAATCTAAATCCTTAATGTAATTAATAAAGGGACGCCATATGTTCTCAAATACAAGCTGTTTATCCTTTCTGATAGACAGCTTGATAACATCTGCCTTACCCATTGAGTTGGTCTGTGAATCTCATTCCACAACAGTACAATACATGTTTTGGCATATAGTAAGCTGACTACATTTTTTCTTTTAATCGGTTAATGAAAAGTTTCTAAACTACACCTCTGCAACCAATTGAGATTTCAGTCGGTTTGGGCCTGTTTAGTCTGATTGATATTGTTACTCTGTGTGGGCTTTTAAACCAATTATAATCTGAATATTTGGCTCTGTGTAAACATAGCATTTCAAAATCAAATAAGTAAGTATATTTCCATTGCCTATATATGTATCTATAGTTAATGTTTTATTGATATAGAAGGCAAGTTATTTCTTGCAGACTGCAGGATTACTCTGTATTTAGCTCTATTCATTTCACCCTCAGAAGCCAGAGAATAAGTCAGCTGAACAAGGACCCTGAAACATGTCTGTGATTATAGATATTTATTGTGTCGGAGTTGTTCTTCAGCTGTTTTCAGGGTCTCACAATTTCTAGCAGTGCTGTCATTTGTGTCAAATAAACGTGGACTACAGAAAAAAGATACAGGCAAATATGCCCTAAAACACAGGGAACAATATTTTTAATAATCACCACAAAGACAAACAAATCAACTCTTTAACGTGTTGGTAAAATAGGTCTTTAATTTGTATTTAAAAAGAAAAGGTTTTGTCTCATTTTTTTTTCTCTAAATTTACTTTAATACAGTCAGAATTTGTCTTTTCAGTCACATCTAGTGGCCACTGGAGGAACCACTTCGTCCAAGGTGATTGCAGGGTGGGTTTTTGTGATGTAACTGATGCTTGACACTGTCCTCCAAAGACAAACTAAAGCAACAGATGTTTCAGCAAATACCCCCCAAAACAGCAGGTTTACATTCAAGTGAGAGGCTGCAATTGTTTTCCTTACTTACCTGTCAGGGCTTGCATACCCTCTAGTGTCTGTAGGAACCATGACCCTCAGGAACAATGGAGGAAGTCAGGTGACGAGCCAGAAGGGGTAGGTTGGGGTGGATGGATGTGACATCTATCTTGATTTTTGACTTCTATCCAAGAATCAACATTGGATTATTTTAACCATGAAGATGAAGGTCCACTATTCTTTATGGAGTAGGTAATTTAAACCCAATCCCTGTTGTTTTTTGTGTCTAAACCTAACCAAATCTTATCTACAGCTGATCAGAAAAGAGTTTTATTTCTGCCACTGTCACTGGAAACCATCATCCTGTCATCACATGAGCTTCAGATCAGAAAACACAATACAAACATCATTCAATTTGAAGGAAACGTGGCCATGGAAACATATAAATCAGTTTAACATGTTCAGAGATATAAATCAAACCACAGCAGCACGTCTCAAACTTATTTTAGCAAAATAACTTAAATAAAGTTAAATGATCTGACTTGTTTTGTAGTTCACACCTCCACCACTAGATAGCACCAATGTATTTCCATTTGACTGCTAGACCTACCTCTGCACTGTCTCTCTGAGAGGATGTTTGTTAGTTTCCTGTCCTCATGTTTCACTCTGGTCTTAATAAACTGACAGTATATGTCATATATGATCATCTGTAACCTCTGGAGCACTTTTCCTTCTGCTGATGTTTAGAAGAGATTTCTTTTGGTGTCATTTCAGGAATATTTTCATATAGCTTGTAGCTAATAATAATAAAACTAGAGTTTAATTCCCCCTCCATTCATCTGTTCTTCCACCAATGTGTCATGACAACGACCTTGAGGTCTATTAAATTTGATAGATTTTATTTATTATTCATCTTAACAACATGATTAACAGGTTTGGGAGCCGCCTGATGGTTCAGTTTTAACGTCCCATATTATTCAGGTTTCATGATTGTGTTTTTAAACCTGTCACAGTTCAGAATGTGATATTGTTCATTTTACATTTTTTGTTGAAAGCTTAAATTGAATGATTTTAGGTTTTATATCTACACATGTATTGACCCTTATTGGCTGACAGTTGTTTTCATTTAAAGGTAAACTGCAGATAATTCAGGTTACATGCTGTTTATTCCACTTTTCCAATGGAATCCCTTCATATTCACTAGTTTATGTGAGAAGAGAGCGTGTAACTATGTCCTATTTCAATTCCAAGTAGTCAACCCTATCATTTGTGAGTAATGTTTAATTCCCATAATAGACATCAGGCCTAAGTTGGGATAAGCTCTGGAGTTTTTTGTGACTTTTAAACCAGATTTCAGCATCTCCTCATGTCTTTAAGTAAAACCAAGGAGGAATAAAGGTTATAAATGATTACAGTAGTTTCATATAAATAGCTTTGTCTGATTGTATTAATCCTTGAACTAAATCTTATTGCGGTTGCTATTATTGCTGTACGTTAATACGTCTTCATACCCTTGACCCTAATGGGTTGGAGCTAAAATTATAGTTAAGATTGATCCATTTCATGTTATTGTCCCTTTAACAAGGCATTTAAACTGATTTTAAGGGGGGGGAGAAGTGTTTCCTCTGAGTTGTTTGTAGCGGGTGATGTGGAGGTTGAGAGGGAAGGCGGGGCAGGTTAACTGTAATTGGGCTGACAGATGGGAATACTCCAAAGGTTCTCCAATCAATCGGTTTGGCCACTCGGAGCAGCCTCCTCTAATCACTCATTAATCAGCGGAAATGAGCTCTGATTAAACTCTGTGACAGCGACTCTGAATGGAGGCCCGAGAGGCTGCAGGTTTTTTTCCACCTCATTTCACTCAGTGCGTCTTCAGAGAAACGAGCTGCTCTGGGGCCTGACAGGAAAAACACCACTGTGGAAAACCATGGATGAGGTTTCGGAGGGGACTCCGGTTCCTCATTAAATGTTTTAATTCAAGGGAATATTAAGTTTATATATTATAAAATCGGTTATATTTACCCATCAAACTTTTTCCTAGCACTGATCCCAGATCATAGTCATACTACGTATCATGGCCCATCTCCCAGAATATTTACGTCTCAGCTGTATCTGAGAATCTAACTCTGCATCTTTACCAGACGCTCATGTCCCCTTTAACTGCTCCTAACAGGGTCTAATAATCTCTAACTACTGCAATACAAGGAGACATACTACAGCTTGTACAGCTGCAACAAGTACAACTCCCCCGTCACCCCCCTTTGAAACAAGAATAACTTCACCCATAAGGCCTTTTGTCTCTTTACAATATTTCTCTTTTCTTCCATTTTCAGATTTCTCCATCTGCTTCTCAAATAATGTTTACTTACATACGAACAAGATCTTTTGTGACATGCTGAAGTGCTGATGTATGTTATTAAAAGACTTAAGTGTGTACTTGTGTGTTCTTTTCTGTGCTTCTTTTCCCTTCCCTGAGGCCCCTATTGTCATTTTGAGTTTGGATGAACTTGAGTCTTATCACTGTAGAGTTTTGTTGGGTGTTTTATTCTTGTTCCTTTCTGTTAAAAAGCTTGCATCTCACATTTTTTGGTGGTTTTCATGTTTTTAATTTCATTTGAAGGATGTAAAAAACAAAAACAACCTTTCCAGTTTGTTAAATTGGAAAATGTGCACTGGAGTTTTTCTTTGAGGCAAGGTCACAACAAAATTTACAATGGTGAAATGTCACAGCAAAATCCGTTTGAGCTGAATAAACAGAGACAAAAAGAGCAAAGGAGTAATTTCTCTTGTTTCCCAGGTTTCATTCAGACACTGAAAAGCAGCAGCTCCACTGACTTCACTACAGTCGGATCAAGAATGTGACACTTTTAGACACTTTAACTCTCAAAAAACAGAACGGCAACAACATTTAGAAGAGACTGTTTGACTTGACTTAATAATGTGTGAACAGCCACAAAATAAACATGTCTCTCAAACAACATGAAGCACCATAACCCAATAATTAGTTTAAAAAAAATACTGAATTACAAATAATGCCAGTAATTAACAGAAACTATGGGAGTCTGGAGGTCGGGCCAGCCACACAGCAGACGATAGGACCCAGACCTCACAAAGAAACAAAGATCCGAAAACTGGACTACCAGACCTCCATCCTCAAAGAATAAAACAACTAAACTACTCAACTAAAGTGGAAAAGAAACTAACTGATGGGATCAGGAGGCTGCTTGTCCAGATGAGAGAGAGCTCCTGCTTCTCCAACCTTCCTTAAATATGTGTGCAGGACCACCAACCAATCATCCCCAATGAGGGGCACCTGAGTGTAAGGAGAGTAAGCAATATCATATTTTATTAAATGATCATGTTTTGTTTGTAAAATCTTAATCTGTCTGTGTGATCTCAATCCCCCTGTTTCACCCCTCGCTTCCAAGTGCAAAGGAGAAACTACAGTGGCCACGAAAAACACGAAAGCCCCTATGGAGACAGTGTTTGGTTTGTCCCTAGAAACATGGTGGTTCAACATGGCGGATCTATGGTAACAAAAGCAC